GGTGGGGGGGTGAGGGTGGCGAGGGCTGCAGTGACGGAAGGATGAAAGAATGTTATATTGACAACTTCTCAGTTCCATCAGGACGTGTGACCACGAGGCAAAAAAAAACAACTTAATATAGAAACTAATACGTGAGTGTCCCAATTCAGTTCATTTACAGTCTATTGTAGAAAAAAGGAGGAACTGGGAGAAAGTGAAGATCAGCAAAGCCAGCGCTTCGGTTCTCAATTCTTCTCCTCGGCCGTCACTTCTTTGCCTTCTTCTCCTTTCTTCTCCTCCTTCTTCTTCTCTTCTGAGGTCTTGTCCTTTACCGAGAGCTCCTCCAGTTTCTCTGCCACCTTGTCTGTGTTTTCTGTGATTAAAAAAAAAAAAAAAAAATCACCATCAACTAAACTAAAGACGGCGGCGATGTCCAATCAAAGTGCAGCATTTTCCAACCCTTTATTTAAAACCCTCACTTCTGTGACTTTACTAATGTAGCAGAGAGCCGACGACAGACTTTTTAAATTAAAATAATATTAATTAAAAGCCATTGAAACGTCAGCTCCTGCAGGTCATTTTTTACAGGAACACGCCTGACCCTGAGCAGGAGAGCCACGGTCACTGGTACAGCAAGACGATGATCCAGGCCCTGTCAGCCATGTGCGTCCGCTCACCTGACTATGGCACCAGGTCAGTGTCTTCATCATCATCATCATCATCATCATCATCATCTACCGCAGTCTCAGATCAGATGTTTGAACTGTATGAAAATGTTCCGACTCTTCTTCCCAATCAGGACAAACACAATCATCCTTGTCGACGCAGACGGTAACGTGACCTTCACGGAGCGAACCATGCAGAACTGTGACACCAGCGAATGGATCACAAGTTCTTACCAGTTCAAACTGGATGGTTGAAGGATGATGTGCCGGCAGCTCCACACTGGCACCTACAGCTGAACTTTGACATAGAAGTTTTTTTTTTTAAACAATAACGAACCATCCGCCTTCATGTCTGCCTCCAAGTTTGCACAATTTGCATTTTGCTGTCTTTGATTTGGGTGTGTTTTGGTAGCTGACGCTGTTAGCAAGGTTAGCCACGGTGAAGACTGGCTCTTAAAACAAAATGCTACAAACTAGTAATGGCCAAACATGCCGCTAATTTATGACATGAATGACCTGCAGCTTACGTTATGTTAAAAAACATTAAGAAAATATAACATTTTGGGGAAAAAAAATAAAAATTGTCATCAACGTTTTTCAACATCTTAACAGAATTAAGGGTTTTGTCGAAAAATTCCAAAACGCTATATTTTGATGAGAAACATGCAGGACAGATACAATTTTGAACATCTGACCAAAAATTATTTTGCTGAAATAAAAAAAATTCCCAAAAAAATTTTTCTTTGAAAAAATATTTAGACATTTTTTTAGGGTTTCAGAATTTTTTTAATTATTTTATTATAAATTTGCTTAAATAAATTATTTTGCTTTTTCTAAAAACTTTTCAAAAACCTTTTTTTAAAGTTTTTGGGGGAAAAAAATTCCCAGAAAATCTTTTTGAAAAAATATTGACTTTTTTTAAGATTTCAGATTTCTTCGTAAATGTATTTTATTATAAATTATTTTGCTTAAATAATAAATTATTTTGCTGAAAAATTCCCCAAAAATGTTTTTCTGAAAACTCAATTTTTTGAAGTTTTTGGAAACTTTCAGAACAAGATATACATCCAATCTGCAACTAGTTGTTATTCAATCAACAATTCAAATACTCTGTTGGATGCTGTTCAACTACATCTACGTCACTGAAACGTCAAGCTTTCAGGCTCGATGCTAAGCTAACAAAAACAATCGATATCGCCAAAGCACATTTCTCTTAACGGACGACGGTTTTAACCAAACCAAACAAATTTCTCAACTCACCGACACAAGCTTTCGTGGGTTTGACGTAGAAGTTTCGAGGAGGACAGCTTCGTCTGCCGGTGAAGGCACGTTTGACGTCACAGGATGAAGTTATTGACTCGTTTGTTGCCTGAGAAATGGCAAACCCCAACCTCTGTTTCCGGTTCGTCTCTTAACCAACGTTATCTGGTTACATGAACGTAGCGGGAAACTTTCTTTTAATGGTTACATGAACGTAGCGGGAAACTTTATTTCAATTAACGCACATGTTTAAAAAAAAAATCATTTTTGGGAAATATAATAAAAATTAAAGTTTTCAAACCTGGAGTTTTTTTTTTGCCATAACATTGACATGGATAAATGCGCCATCTGCTGGAATCAAGCGAAAGTGCAATTACCAATTTTGACCGAGTTCTCTTTGTGACAATAGTTAAAATAAAATAAATCCCACATTTGACGGAGACTTCAGCTCATGTGAGGTGTTTGACAGCTTTTATTCAAAGGTGGAGGAAACATTCGAATAATTTTGCAAATGAAAAGCAACATTTCGTCCATTTACAGGTATTTACAGACGCACTGGCACTTGGATGCACTTTGGGAGGAGAGGGGGAGGAGATGGGGTGAGAATGGAATTAGTGGGAACAGAAAAGGTGAGAACACACACTCTCACTGTTAAATATTCTCTGCATGCTTCAAAGAACGGGAATGTCATGATGTTAAAGTTCTGGACTAGGAAACGGTTTGAGACCAAAAACAAACAAACAAAAAATCAAACAAACAGAAAGTTAATCTAAGTGCATCTGTGTGGACCAGGTGAGTCTCCCGACTCATCGTTCTGCTGCTGGTCCTCAGCTCTGTCTACAAGTCAGTCAAACTTTTCCTCTTTCTACACTTTGCTTTTGAAGAAAAGAAAAGAAAAGAAAAGAAA